AAACGGGCAATCATTCAAGTTCCCGCCAGGGACGCGCGTCCACCAAACCCTAGGCCTTGACACCACTTTGAACTCTGTCGCGTCCAAACCACTGCTTGGGCAGACAGCTTACGCTCAAAGAAAGCTATGTCCTGTTTGCGCAGCGGGATCACATTCTCAACAACAAGACACGCCTGTGGGTAAGGCCACATGGCTTCCAGCTCGTGCACAAACGGCCTTCAGGGCCGCCCGGCCCCGGGACATGTGTGCGAATCCTGCTGTAGTCAGGGCAAGGCGGGCCTGCGCTGATCATGATTTGCGCTTTGTGCTGCGGGTCCAAGTACTGCAAGCGTTCTAAGAGCCTTGCCGGGGTATCTTGCTGGAAGTCTCCTCTGTGATCAGCAGATAGGAAATGGCTGCGACTTACTGCAACGCACTCAGGATCTGTTTCCCACAAGATTGCATGCCAACACCAACCCTTCTCGCGAGCAAGCTGTTGGCACATCAAAGCTGCGGAAGCTATCCCGTCAAAGAATGACAAAAGAATTTTATTGACTTGACCATTGGTTGGATTCCCCAGGCGATTGGCCACGGGTCCGCCCCCCTCTGGCTGCTGCTGCGCAGCACTGCCCTGGCAGAGAGGCGGCCCGCGCTGTCCCTATTCGCGGTCAGCCTGGTGGCCCCACCCAGCGTTGCTGCCCTGGGTTTGCTGCCACCCTGCTTGACAAATTCGCGGTCTTGGCACCGTGCCACTGCTGCTGATTTGTTGGTCCTTGGTAAGGCGACCATGGCTCATGCCTGCGTTGACGGCCCACTGTCTTTTCGCCTTGCCTTTCCCGCTGTCGCCCTTGACAGTGTTCTTGCCTTTGCCCTTAGCTTTGGCAGGAACTTGGGCGGGTGGTCGCGCGCCAATGTGTCCTGGAGCGACTGCTGATCACTCATAACCTCCTTTGTGATTGTTGCAAATTCAACTCCCGCGCATTGCCAGCGCAATCTTCCAACACACTATGTCCCAACATTGAATCAAGTGCGGAATCTTCTGGGGTCGGGCCCGCACCAAGCGACTGAACCACGAAAAGAATGCTTCGATGTCTGCCTCTGGAGTCTGGAGCAGTTTCCATGAGCAAGCGCGCTGCCTTCCAGCTGTCGAGACAGTCCAACATGGCGAGGGTACTTTTTGGCTGCCACTCCTGGTCGTCCTTGGTTTGCAATGCGCACTCATCAGTCAAGACCAGGGTGGCCCCTTCATTCTTTGGTCGTTGCCTGCCACTGGCAGACAAAGGGTTTGGCTCTCCCGCCGCTGTGAAGAAACGCATCTGCACAATCTCAGCCAGCCGTGGGGCAGTCTGTAGCCCTTGTTGCCTTTCCCACAACACTCGAGCAAGCACGGACTCTGCACCTAAAACTAGCTCCTTTGGAAACTTTCTCGCACAGCAGACCACCACTTGGCTGGCAACTCCTTCTTCGACCCTGGCTTGGGTGGCTCTGTGGCTCCCGGCGCAGCCGAGGCACTAGCGTGCCCGGCCCGAGTCGTGGCTCGGACTGCGGCGCGCCACAGGTGGCGCAGGAGTGGGCCTGCTTTCGGCCGTGGATTTGACCTCCCGGCCACTAATCTGCAATCCAGTTTCCAATGGGCTCAGCAAAATGGCGTCAACCTCTTTCGGGCGTCTGGGCGATTTCAGCCAAGGTGCCCAAGCACAGGACCTTCCGAGCAAGGTAGTCTTTGATGTCCTCATCGGCTCCTGAGTCTTTCAGCAAGTCTTCCAAAATCAATCCGCTAGTAGCGGCCATGGCTCGGTGACTTGGCGGGGCTTTGCCTTGCCTTGACAAAGCACCTTGGTTTCTGCATATTGCCTGCCATACATCGACCTTTCAAGACGGCTCACGTTTGTGTTGTCCTAACCAAGCGAAACAACTGGCTTGAGCATCTGTCGGACTCCGAGCGACACAGTGTCTTGCTTGCAAGTTGCCTCGCTGCACTCTCGAAACACGTACACTCTTTCCACCTTGGTTGCGCAAAGTCACCTGTCTGACTTCGAATCATATGAACTTAAGCTGGAGCCTGTCTCAGCTCCGGAAGTCTCTTCGCTAGAGGAAGAATCAACCACATCACTCCGGCGGAGGTTTGGGTGGCACCGTTTACACGTTTCTTCTTCCGGCCCTGGGCTGGCACGGGAAATCTTGGAAGCCCCGTATCTCCAGCCGCAGGCAGTTGACCACATGGTCGGAAGGACACGGTCCTCGCTTCGGTCCCGTTTGCGCAACCTCCTGCCACGCACTAGCTGCGGGCGGGCTTGGATCTCATCAACCCTCTTGGCTAACGCAGCCAACTCAGCCTGGACGTAACCATCGTCGGCTCTGCGAAGTTTCTTAGGCCTTTCACCTTTCACCAGCACCTCTACTCTGCTCCGGAGGAGCTGCGCTATCAGCCGCAAGCGCAAGAGGCACTTGATCCAAGCAAGAATCCTGGATGTACCTCATGACACTCTGCGAACCCCAACGTCCTAAGTGCATGATTGCTGCAGGCGGCACCCCTCTCCTTGTTAGATACTGGGCACCTGAAACACGCAAACAGTGGCCACCAAATCTTTGCAGTGCTTGCTCACTATCAAAGCCTGGACGTGTCAACCGCACCCGACCCTGACAGGACATGCCTAATTGCCTCTATTGCTTGCTTGCGGCCACGCTGCCATCTGCCGCAGGAAGAAGAGATCCATCTGAGTTGCCATCTAGTCTGCCGACTTGCGCCTTGAGCTGGTGAAAAGGGCAAATCTCTTTCGGAAGGGGCTCGCAGTAGCACTTGTGCGACCTTTGGACAAGGTATCCTTGCAGGTCTGTTTTGGACACTGGCAACGTCCACGTGGCTACAAGATTCTCGTCATCAATGAGGACATATCTTTGCAGAGCTGCTGCTATCTCAATTTCGCGAGCCAGCCACCAGCACCCAAGGTCTTCTAAGGCGTCCTTGAGCTGACTGACCCCCAGACCCCTTGGAGATGCTCCGGAGACAATGGCAAGGCAGGCACTCTCCAGGCCTTGCATAGCGCTAGCCATGTTCGCCAGCGCAAGTCGCGCGGTTCGTGGTTTGACTTTGAGCACACGTCCTGACGCAGGGCTGCCAGAGCAGAGTCACGACTTGCAGGGTGCGCTGCCTCCAAGGCTTTCGTCAGAGCCCCGCCCCTGGAAGGATGGAGATCAGGCAAGTCCTTCAGTGATCGGCTTGCAGGGACCAATCCATGGATAGTCAAAGCCATTCTGCTGGGTCAATCCCCCGCGGAGCTGCGCCCCTGACTTGCGAAGGCTTATGCACGCCTGCTTCTTCCAAGACATCGATTCGGGCAATCAGCCCTGCATCCTTCGCTGCAAAGCACAAGCCCACAAACGTGTCCTCATACCACATTCAGGATCGCAATCAAACTGTCAGGTGAGCTCGAGATGACGCAGCATATCACCGGTCAACGCCCCCAATCGATGGGGCGAGTTCCGATTTGCCTTTGAAATTGTTGGAGCCTCGTGCCGATATTCTTCGGCATTCGGCGCAACTCCGTGTCACTCTGTGCGCTTTGTAGCACAACACCACAAACACACAAACACACAAACACACAAACACACAAGCACACAAACACACAACACACACAAACAAATACACGCACCCACACGCAAACGCACGCACAACCGTAAACAAACACCCGCACACGCCAACACACACACACTTTTCAGAAGCGTTCCGATGCAGTCGGGCACTGAACGTTGGGAACCGTTGAACATGACACAAAGCTTCAAGCCGAGAAACGGAGCTATTTACACGAGGTCGAAAAACACTGAAACGGCAGGTACGTGCAAGCTGGCCAAGCTTGCATATCACCAGATCAAATGGGCGTCTTCGTTGGTAGCGGGCCCAAATGATCTGCCGCTACCCCCTGCGGTTGGTTCAGAATGGCTCGTCAGAAGGCGGTGAGCCCATCTTCCATGCACTAGGAAGTTTCACACACACATACTCACACGCACACAAACTCGTGCACGCACACACACGCGGACAAATACACACACAAACACACACACACACACACACACACACACACACACACACACACACACAAACACACACACACACACACACACACACACACACACACACACACACACACACACCCACGCACGCACGCACGCACGCACGCACACACACACACACACACATACACACACAGACATACACACACACACACACACCACACACAAACAAACACAAATACAGCCGGGCGGGCTAGGCACATCAACTTGTTGAAATATACTTCGTGCCTATGGGATAAAGTCGACGCGACCGGGTTGACAAACACAGACACACACAAACACAAAAACAAGCCTACACACACAACCACACACACGCAACAACGCACACGCAACCACGCACACGCAACCACACACGCAAACACAATCACAAACGCACACACACACACACACACGCGCGCGCGCGTGCAACCACACACACACTCAACCATACACTCACAAGCGCCCACAGTCGTACAAACACACACACACAAACACAAACACAAACACACAAGCACTTTGCGACTGCGCTTCTGCTTCTACTTGTGCTTGTGCTTGTGCTTGTGTGTTGGTGTTTGTGTTGGTGTTGTGCTTGTGCTTGTGTTTGTTTGTGTCTGCGTGTCAATGTGTCTTTGTGATTGATTGTGAGTGCGGTTCCTTTGTTTCTGTTTGAGTTCTTGTTTGGACTTGTTGTTGGGTTTGTGTTTGTTTTTGCGTCTGTGTTTGCTTGTTTGTGCTTGTCTTTGTCTCTGTCTTTGTGCTTGGGTTTGAGTTGGTGTTTGTGTTTGTCTTTGTGTTTATCTTGGTGTTTGAGTTTGAGTTTGTGTTTTTGTGTGTGTGTGTGTGTGTCCGTGTGTCTGTGTGTGTTGTGTGTGTGTGTGTGTGTGTTTGTGTCTGTCTGCGCACGTTTGGGAAGAATGCTTGACCAGCCTCTCCTGATACACTGCAGTTTTACTGAACACTGGGGTCGCTGCTTCCAGGATCTTGCCCACCTCTTTGGGTGAAAACCGCGTGTAGCCTGCCCAGGCACTGAACAAATGACAGAACAGCTTTTCACGCGCAGGTTTGAGGCTCCAGCCCATAGAGAGCGTCTCCCGAAAAGTATGGTCAGAGTTCTGCCCAGGCTCGTGGCATGTGATGCCCGACCTCGAATATCCGCAGTGGTGCCAGCGAACAGCGGCAACCCGATCGTCCAGTGCAAGATCTTTGGACGGTGCAAGTCTGAAAAGACTGGTGCCAAAGCTTCGAAAGCATCCCTGCAAGGATGTCATGCAACTTCTGCACGCGCAGGATGCATTCAGTTCAGCATGCAGTTGGAGCTGCTGTTGCTGATTGTTCTGCTGTGGTGACAGTGATTTCTGGAATGAACATATTCCTACACCAGCTATGAAGGTGAGGCAGGGAAAAGATGCCAAGGCCGCCACGAGTAGTTGTCAAATGTCATGCCAAAGCTCCATTCCTTGCCATAAACCTGTCGCTGCAGGATTTGCTTGGATTTGTGGGAAGCAAACAGGCAGAAAACGACAATCACTTGAATTTAGTTGTGCCAAAAGAAGCAGGGGCAAACTACAGGCCAATGGGGAGGAAAGCCAGCCAAGACATGGAGCTGAATTGAACGGGCTGGAAAACAAACCAGACGGGATGGCTTGTCAACTTGTCAACTATGTTGATGTTGGCACTGCTCATGTGAAATCCACACCTTTTCGGCAAGACAGTTGCTGGAAGCCATACGTTTGGCATCGACAGCTTGGCAACCAGCTTGGAAGCCATACGTGCTGGCTTCTGTGCGGCAGGTTCTCCCACAGCCTGGGCACATGCACGGGACATAGTCTCTGTCGACGCCATGTCTAGATGTCGCAGTGCGGCAGCCGCCCACATGATGTTGGCAGCTTCCACCGGTCCAAAGGCTTCTGCTGTAGCTACCTGTCCAACTAGAAAATTTAGAGCGAGCGTGCTGAAGTACTGCGCTTCTGCGAACGGCTGCAGACTCTGGCTAGGTTCTGCCCCTCCCACACCAAAGCCGGCACTCGTGTGGCAACCATTGCAAGTGAAACTGGCTGTGGAGTTGACAGGCTGGCTGGCCACTTCCTGTGCCAAGTTGGCCTCTTCACGCGGCCCAAGCTGCAGTAGTGCTGCAGCTGATGGGCCTGTGAGGCCTCTAATAAGGAGCTGCGAAAGTGCTGTAGCTTTCAGAGCCCACAGCGTTCCGGACAGTTCCAGCGGCTCGCACCCTTGAACTCGCAGCAGCATGGCCTTGCATGGGCAAAACATTGAGAATTGACGACTGGGGTAGTGAAAGGAAGTCTACCATGAACACCCGCAGAACCTCAAGTATTTCAGAGTGCTTTCTTTGAGAATATACTCGGCTTTGCACGACAAAGCTCCACAAAAAGCTACAGAACGGCAGAGCCGGGGAAGAAAACGTGGCCCTGTGCATGAAATTGGCTGTATTTTTGTGTTGTTACCTTCGCTCACGGCGACGGTTTGCTGAATTGAGGGAGGTCGACCTTCAAAACCTCTTTCCTCTTGGCTTTGCACTTTTCCCGGCGAAGAGAGAAAGAGAGAACAAGAGAAAGAGAAAAAGAGAGAAGAGAGAAAAAAAGGGGAAAAGAAGCATGGAAGAAAGACGAAAATACAAAAGAGAAAGAATATGGTAAATACCAAGAGAGCAAAAGTGATCGAAAATGAGGGAAAAAAAGAAGAAGAAAAAAACAAAGAGATAAAGAGATAAAGAGAGAAAGAGAGAAAGAAAGAAAGAAAGAAAGAAAGAAAGAAAGAAAGAAAGAAAGAAAGAAAGAAAGAAAGAAAGAAAGAAAGAAAGAGAGAAGAGAAGAAAATCGGTCCAAACTGCAGTTCTTGTAACTATCCTGGAAACTTCTGCTTCCGACCGCGGGTGTCTCCTTGTGTCCAGCTGCTGATGCCTGCAGTGCCTGCAGTCTGTTGGATAAGTGCTGCGGCTCCCAGTCAATGCCACCTGTTGAGTGCGATCTTGCTTGCAAACAGGATGCTTCAGGCAACATCCTGTCATGAAGCTGGGTTCCACATGTTGGCAACGGCTTGCGGGTGGGGCTCATTGAGCCAACAGGTCCAGCTTGGGGCAGCTGGCAGCAGCTCGAAGGGAGCATGCTGCGCTTTGGCTAGACCCCCATTCCATGGCCATCTCCCCGAAGGCTCCTCAGCGCCGATTCAATCGACCTTAGCTGCCTTGGCCGCCTTGGCCGCCTTGCTGGCGACGCGGCAACTGCGTCTAGTAAGGTCTTGCTCTCGAAAAGCGAGGTGGCAAATGCTTGCATTGCATGCGCTTGCTGAGTGCTGCGGCCCGAGCTCTGCGACGCGTTGGGTGGCGGGCTCCTCCCAGATCTCCGATGCGGCCTCTTGTTGCTGAGCTCCCCATGGTCGTGCCCGTGGCAAGGCAGCATGCTGATTTCGATGCACCCTGCGGCTAGCCTGGCTCACTGCACAGCAGTGAGCTGTTCATGGCGGTGGCGCAGCTTGGCAAAGGACCATGGGATCATTGCCAGATCGTGCGGCTAAGTCTAGTGGCTCGAACAGGTCTGGGCCATGGCCTCATCTATGGCACGAAGCAACTTGAGATCCCTGGCAGCCTGCCGGGCTGGCTGCCATGCTGCGCTCCTCAACTACTGCGGATCCTGATTGAAGGAACTGGCAATGCAAAGAAAGGCGATGCTGGGGCCGCTTGCAACATTGCACTGAACAAAACTCACCCAGTCTAATATCTCAAAAGGAAACTCCTGCCGAACTGGTCAAAGTGTCATACAGCATCAGCAGCCTCAATCAAAGCAGCTCGCCGCTCCGCGCTTGAGTCATGTGCATGACTCGGGAAGCGAGGCTTCACGACCGCCAGCCCCTGCCTCAACTCCAGTGTGGAACGCTCCATAGCTCTTAGTGAGCCCATTGTGCACACCTGGCCAACGATGAGCCTGCAACTGCAATAGCCACAGCCAGCAGGCCACAGGTCAAAATCCTGTACCCCCAGTGAACATCCCAATCCCCACTAAAATAGGTTCTAAAATGGGTGGTGCACCTACCCCAAAATGGTACCATTGGTTTTGACCCACAGCCAGCACTGAAACTAAGCATGCCTGCTCAAGTGAGTTAACATCTGGCTGCTGGAATCCGATTTTGGGAACTAGTGCTGGCAGGAGGCGGGTCAACATGGTCCTCAGTTGCTTGCTCAAGGATAAATGCCTGAAATAGGACGAGCAGCACGTTTTGCTGCTACAATTGGGCTGCCATGGTTGGCAGAATTTGCCAAAGCTCAACAGCAATGTAAAGGCTGTGAAAAACCTCTTGAAAATATCAAGCAATTCGGTGCCGGCTTCAGATCTGAGACCTGAGCTGCCCAAGATCGTAGACGCGCACCTCATCCAGCTAGCTGTGAAAGGATGGTGCTACATGTAGGATGACATGGCAACTTTGCCAAACTCTGGTTCGGTTGCTCCACATCAGGCCGGCACTAGTACTCTCTCACGGTAGACTCGACTGTTTGCAAGCGTTGGCCTGTGACAAGCAGCCAACAGAAGCCAAAATAGGAGAATCAAGGCAATCAAAAAAAAGAAGCAGACTGAAGCAGACTCATGTGGCTCATGAGCATGGAGTACATCAGACCAATGCTCTTTGCATGTTGCACTGACACCTCAAGCAACGGAACGAAACAGCCGGGCTGCCGGGCCTCCGTGAGCTTGCCGGTGCCTGGCAGTGCCATACCATTTCGTGTAAACACGGGGCGTCGAGAGGTTCGATTGTAAAAAAATGTTTTATAGCCATTTATAGCTTATGCTTATGCTTATGCCATTTATGAACCTTGTGCACGTTGCCAGTCCGACTGTCCAATCCAAGACGCGCAGCCTCATGTTCACTCCCAGGTCAGCCCCGAGCCAGCACGTTGAGTCACAGCGGATTGACCGATCAACCAATGAGCACAACTCTCTGGTAACAAGCATGCGGCAAGCGACACACCATCTGATCGAACAGCGAATTCGCCTGCGAGAGGTCATCCGTCGCAGTGCCAGAACCTTCTGTGGCACCAGCAAGCCAATCAGTCTGTCTTTGAACCAGTTGCAACTACTCTCCTGATTTGCTTCATTTAGCTACCGAAGATGTGAAGCTTCTTCTCTGCAATCATATGGCCTCGCCCGGGTGAATCTGTCAAGACCTGCGAGGCAAAAGACAGGCATGCGCAACTGTTGCGGCGAACATGCCATTGACTTGCAGCACTCAAAGCATTCACAGCATCTAATTGGCAAAGCTTTGGCCGAAGGCTTCAAGACCTGATCCTGTGCCGCGATAAATGAATTGAATGGTCCACTTAGAGCGTTCACGCTGAAATCTGCAAAGATACACGGGACCACCAGCACGAGAAAAGCATTGACATCAAAAAAAACTACGCGCCGACATGAATTCAAACAAATAATCTCTGAATTAGATGCAACTCACTGGGTGTCCAAATGAGATACATTTCGAATGTACCTCTGCCGCGGCTCACTGAATCAAAGCTGTTGCCAGGGAATATCTGCCAGGCTGCGGAAGAGAATTCAACCAAACAAAAAGCCCAACACCATACTTTCAATATCCGAGATGCTGGGATGAATTGGTCCTTCGACAGGCCACGGCTGCCCATGCGGCTAGCAATGCTGCTGAGCATGCCCCCAAATTTGGACTGAAACCTTTCCTTGGATTGCGCGGCGTTGTTGCAAGGCATCTCGGCATCCAATGCTTACGTACTCTAAAGCTTCAGTATGCTGCGTTTGCCACGGCCCTCTTTTGCTTGAGCTCGCAGAGTTACTGCAATTTAGGGGGGCCGTGCCAGAGAACATGAGTAGGCACAAGTGTTCACGTGCAGCAATTGCTCAAACAGGACTTGTTCAAAACAGAATGTGCTATGACGGCATCTCCTGCTCTGGGCAATGTCCAGTAACGCTCTGAGTTATACAGTAGTTTATCCTACAACCGACCTAGCGTGTTCGAACCCTCTCGCATGTTGAGTGAGTCGTGAGTCTCACAACTTATATAGACGCTGCGCAAAAGATCACTTTGAATGCGTTTGCAGGAGTAAACCGCGCATGGTGCCAGGAATGTTGTTTTTTTCTAGGGCTTTCAATGACTGGGATGCTTGCCACGTTGTCCGAGCCGGTCTGAGCCTCTCTGACTTCCAATGTTTGGCACCTGGGTTCCTGTGAGAGGCTTTGAGCCAAACGAGTGGACCACTAATTGTCCCTCCGCACGCTTTGAAGCATAGCGTTTCTGCAGAAACAAGCCCCCCCGGGAATCCAAAAGCAATCCAAAGTGAAGCCACAGGGAGGGAGGCGCAAGGTTTGCCGTCATGTCGCCAAATCCTAGCCGTGCTAACGGTACGGCCTTTTCTACCCGGGTTCGAGACACAGCGTCTAGAATCATGACAACTGCTTGTGAGAGGTGTTGTTTTTAGATGGCGCCGCAAAGCGGCGCATAAGCTATCTTTGTCAAACTTGGATTAGTTGTCGTTAACAATCGTGGTGGCTGCTTGGATCATTTGTTGTGGACAGGAGTTGTTAGTGGGAACCAGTTCCAGGTGAAGCCAGCTACTTCGGACAAACCCAGACCTCATTTCCAGGCTCCATGTCTCCCAATGTCTGGCCTTTCGGTACGAAGCCACAAACGAGAGGTCAGAGCGAGATCAGAGACTACCTCCGCAAAAGAGGTGGAGCTACCGAACTTTGCCAAACTTGACATCGCGCGCTACACTACTGCAGAAACGGCGCTCGACTATTTGCAAAAAGTGGCGCGCAACTTCCGACATGGCGTCAGCTCGCGTTAAAAGCTGCCCAGAACGCCTGCTTTGGTAAGATTTGGAATGAGCTTCCACCCAAGCGGCACTAGCTAGTGCTGCGGTTGTTGGGAGATTTTGCATGCAGCATCTGTTTCACCAGCACATCTGAGTACCCCCCGCAACGAGTCCAAAGTCAAATGGCATGCCCTCTGTGGAAGTGACTTGTGACGATGGATCCGCAAGCGCTAGCCGTCAGCAAGCTTGCAATAAACTTATGAGACTGCCAAGTCGCAAAGGCGCGAAGCAGCTCCGGCGCAGAAATCTGCTTGCAATCATAGGGGTCCAATGCCAGCAGCACGTCCTTTAGCAGGCCGGCAGGATACAAATGTTGGCACCTGGCATGACTGACGTCCTTGGGGTCGACAGTCTTCAAGTCCACCCCAGATGCCACCAATGACCCAGCCAGCTCTTCAACAGACAGGGCCTGCAGCATGAAACCGGGGCACAGTAGTGAAGAATAAATGGGCACATGCATATACAGCGACATGAGACTTACGGGCCTGACTTGATCGGCGAAGTGCGAAATTCAGCACCTTGGCTGCCAATGTGCTCACGCTTCGTTGGCTTGTTCACGCGAACTGCTGCCTGGGCCCGCGACGCTTGGGAGATCAATTCCGGCCACCATACACGCTCCGAAGAGCCCGTCTAGATGCGTCAGAACAAGCGCCCGGGAAGCCTGCAGGATGTTGATCAACCTGAGACACCCCAAGCTGACGGAGGAATAAACGCTGCATACATCAGGCAGAGAAGCGCAATTTGGAAAAGAAACGCGCAATGGGTTAAAGAGACGATGCTGCTGTTGCGGCTGATTTTCCTGCTCCTGCTATTACAGCCGTCTTGGCATCTAACCACCAACACCGCCACAACCGACACCACCACCAACAAGAACACCGAGAACATCAAGAACTTGATGACGGGCGGCCCGGAATTATTCAAACATGATAGTCGCGACAAGGGCCTCTGCTCACAACAAAACAGATGTACAGTGCGCTTGGGCGAAGTGAATTGGTCAATTGCTGCACATCTAATTGGAGATTGCCTGATTGGTGAGAAGTGATTTGTACTCCAAAGTTGCCATGTTCGAGAAGGAGCTGGCGGAGCGTACTTCACATGCTATTTTTGAACTGAAACGTTGTGATTACTTCGCGTACTGCTGTTGTACTTGATAATTGCAGTTGCCAAACTGAAGCACAAGGAGCGAACTTCCTGTACTAGCTTTGTGCTTCAAAGTTGTGATTTTCGAACTGGCGCTCCGGAAGCGCACTTCACGCACCACACTTGTACTCTTTTAGGATAAAAAAAGAATGAATTAGCGATTGTAAGGCTGAAATTGCAGGAGGGCCCTTCGTGTGCTACTTGCGTACTCAGGAGGCCTACCTTTCCGCTTTGGGAAGCCAAATGAGCGTCCTTTTGGCTACCAGACTTACGCGAACAAGGACCCAACAGTAACAACCCCCGAACACAATCTCCCGCTGAACAGCCCCGGCTGCTCAAAACGGTATTGGCAAAGGATGCTGCTTTGAATGCAGGCAGGGCGCCTCCGATAGGTCATGGGCAGTGGCCCACTGAGGCCTTTGGCCACACGAACTGCTACAGAAATCGCCTCCTCAGGCTGCTGGCACGCAGGCAGTGACCGACCTGCTTTTCACTGGCAAGCAAAGCTCCTGCCATTCCAAGAGTAAACCAGCCACATGCGGAGGTAGCCGCAGATCTGCAAGCAGCTCCTGCAAGCCTGCAAGACCAGCCTCGGGCAAGCGCATAGGGGTTAGAACCTGCACACAATTGCAGACACCAGGGCCGCCAAAGTTTTGCCCAATTGCACCCATGCAAATTTCCCTGCTGCCAAGCGTCTTCTGTGTCTATCGAGCGACCGCGGCTACCAAGTGCTTCACTTACCAGGATCAAGCGCCCAGGCTCGTCCGAATCCGGCAGCTCCGCTAGCCTGAGCTTCCCGTTGTAGCTACTGCAAGTGGAAAAAGCTTTCCGCGGCAAATGCATCCTGCCAGGTCAAGAACCACACCGCGCGGCGCTTAATTTATTCAGCTTATTCTACCGGATACGCTTGAGCGAGCGTGCTTATCACGTGCAGCCGTGCAGGGCCAACCCGGGTGCGCTTGATGTCATGCGCAGGCGTGGGTACAGTGCTGAGCGGGTGCACTTGAGTGGGTGTGATTATCATGCCGGGCATGGGTGCCGTGCTGACCGGCAAGCTTGAGCTTGTCTGCTTACCAGGCGCAGGTGTGGACGCAAATGCAACTACAAGCGCAGTTTTCGACCTGCATGCCAAAGCACGCATGCGCTGAACCAACGATCACGAACCAAACATGCAAAGAATCGCCCTGCCAAACACCTTTAACCCTCAAGCCATCAAAGAAGCAGCCTAATGCCTGTCATCGCAGTTGAATTGCGGCTATTCATGTGAGCGTGCAATCTTGCGCGTCTTGTTGAGCTCCACGACGCTTTTTGTCCGGGGCAGCAGGCACGTCCCAACTTGCTAACTTGCAATCAATTATTCAAGTTCCAGTCCGATGCAACCTTGAGCCTTGAGCCTCACATCCAAGTGCATGGCCAGCAGCTCCAGGAGAGTACGCAAATCTCGACGTATTGCATCTGTGTGGGGCATGGCCTGGCAAGGCACCAGGGCTGGTCACATGTCATTGCAATATCAAAGAAAACTCCACTAAGGGCAATGATTCGGAGCGCCAGCAACACAACGCCCTAGAAGTGCAAAGCAGCAAAATAGATGCTTAGCAGAATCGTCCATGTTCCAACAAGAAAATGACTGAACAAAATGGTACCCGGCGCAGGCCTCCTGCTGAACTTTGAGATGGTCCACAAATGCCACATAGCGGCGGAAGTCACGGTAGGTAAGCGCACCTTCAAGTGCTTGTGTGTGTGTGTCACAGATAGTGGCAATTGCAGCCTCATGCAATAGCCAGGTTCCTGCCTAAGTGGTGCTGGTCGCAAAAGCTGTACGCTGCAACCGCTGCATCAGCTCCTGCAAAGTCGAACTTGTCTGAGAAGCGATTGCCGCCTTGAAAACTAAAATTGCCCAGGTTTCCTGCATTATGCTAACTTGTCGTGCATGGCGATCTTCTGCTAAAAAAAAAAAGCTGGAAATCCCGAATGCTTCGCACTATGCGCTACGGACAAAATCAAAATGAAGCCAGAGTGCAAGAATTGCAGCACAAGCATTCCTGGAACTGTTTAGTTTAACGACATGACACACACACACACACAACCCTTTGGCCCAGCCTAGGCCAAGGCATCGCATTGCAAATGATCGCCAGATCTCTGGCTCGACTCTCCCAGAGCCGTCTGTATCCAAGGTGCTGAAGAGCAAGAAGTCAGGTAGCAAAAGGCACCTCTGACTGACAAAAGCTGCCTGTTGGCAAGCTTGACCGGTCCCTCATCCCTGGCCTTTCGCCGGCTTCGTTTGGCAAAAGCAATCCCTCGGGTGGAATAGCTGGTTCAGGAAGCTGTTGTAGCCATGCCTGATATTGCCTGCATGGAGGAGAAACAATGTGCACGTAAAGCTTCGCAAGTCCCTGCGCAAAAATTGGCAGGTTTGAAACGCATCAAGCGACATGTCGAGTGCAACATGGCTGGGAAACCATGTCAAATTCACAAATGGAACGCCAAAGCCTTCTGAAATCTCCATTCAGGAAGCCAGAGTCTGGTGGCGACAAGTGGGCCAACTCGACCACCTCCTCCCAAAGCTGCCGTGTTGCCAGGCGTGCTCTCAAACTTCAAAGCTACATAGGGTCTGCCATTAGCAAGCTAGCAAGTGATTGACAAGTTCAAGCACAAGCTGAGCAAGCGGTGGGACTTACCAGCCTGCAATGAGTGCGAAATGAACATCAGGCCTGCCTCTGTCAAGGGCAGGCCAAGATGATGCAACAGCGCAACCATGTCAGCAACCGTGGCCAAACCATCGCCTTCGGAAAGTTTGCATGGAACAACTGCGTCATCACTCGTGAGACAGAGAAGGTAGACAGCGCGCAGCTTTGAAATCGGCTGAGGCTGCCGCCGTCCCTGTCAAGAACTGCGAAGGCTCGGCTTGCCTCAACTCCTGACGCATGAACCTCGGATTGATCCCAAGCTCGGCACCTAACTTGCCACAGCAGCATGGGCAAAACAGTTGCTGACACTCTGCACGTGCAAGATCAGCAAGGTGCATAGTAACATCGCATGACGCTGCAGAAATGTTGAGTCAAACCAGTGCCAGTTGCGCGATCTGTTTGCAAGCTGCAGCCAGCAAGCCACTTCAAAAAGTCGCTGCTTGACCACTGAGAGCACATTGTCAAACTCAAGTGGCAGCTGCACTGGGTGTGGGCCCACGCCCGGGCTGGCAGCACTGCAATTCCGCCTGGGAAATGGCGAGTGCCCCTGCAACAGAAGTTTATGATAGTCTATGGACCTGCACTTGCACATGGGCGATTGCTTTCGAACCCGCATGCTCTCGTTAAGCCTCAAACACATCCAGCCTGGGCTTGGAAAAGCCTGCATCTTGTGGCAACCTGCCCAACGTTGCTCCAAGCGTGCGCGCGGCGCTACCCAAGCCCTAAGGAGGGCCAGTTTGTGCAGGATTAGCTCCAGAAATGTAAGGAGAAGGTGAATGAATGAGCCTTCCTTGGGTCCACAACTAGAAATCAGGAAAGAATGGTTACTTTCCTGGAGTCAACTACTAGGAGTCAATTCCTGGTGCACAGTTCAACTCCCGGAAGCGGCTTGAGGGAACTTGCCAACGTATATGCTTTCCACAGGCTTTTCACCACCAGGCGCGTGAGACTTCTTGTGGAAGGAAGAAGCTTTCGCAACATAGCAGGTCGATGGTTTTCTGCCAGGGCATGTGTGAAAGTGCTTTTTGGTGGGACGGCAGCAATTAACTACAGGCAGCTGGGAGAGCACGAGTCCTCATGTCTATGTGACGGACATCTTGTTCATGTTTGTATGATTCCTATGCTGATGCATATGAATCAGGGGCCACCAACAATGTTCCGATCGCAGCTCCACTCGGATGACAGCCAGCCCAGCCCTGACAAGGCAGGAATCGAACCTCAACCACCGTACCCGACACAACCTAGACCCTCCAAAGCAAAGAAACGGAGAATTAGCCCATGATCCTACCTCCCGCAAGCGGGTCTGCAAGGGTTGGGTCCAGGTGGGGTGCGGGTTGTATCGGCTAGGTCCAACCGCAAAAAGGTTGCAACGGGATCAGTTCTCGGAGGGCAGTCGGTGAGCCGGAGGCGCTCAAGTGTCAAAGGCAGCTGTCAGCAGTGCTGCAGGACCCTGAGACTGTCCCTGCCTTCCCTGATTAGAAGATGGCTCTTCGGCAAAAGGTGGAGGGCTAGGCTGCTTGATGAGCCTGCCGTCTCAACGCACCTATCAATCCCGTCTACACACAAACAACCACTTCTGAAACCCAGCCATGCCTTGATTTGTAGGCAGCCAAGAACTGTGCCAGCTGGCCATCCGCCAAAGGTGAGTCTGCACAGCATAGTTGCCTGCGAGAGCTCTGTTCTGAGATCTGCTGAGTCTGCAAGCAGCACGGGCACATGTCGCCTATGGCCTGGCAAACTCCTGAACAGCCGCGGCAGGTGAAATTTCATCTGCGTGGCCAGGCTCTATCTCAAAGACCAGGCTTGAGCCTTCCACTCCTTGGCGAGGACATTCAAATAAATAAACTGGATTTCTCGCGGGCTGGCCTTGTAGTTGCTTCAAGCAATGACACAAGCACGAACGCCCAACGTCAATCCAAGAAGCCCAAGATGTTCACTCTCTGAGGTGCTATTTGAAGCGCGGCAGACAAATGATGCTGGAACATGTGTCCGAACCACTCAGCAACCTGCCGCGTGCGATGTGTCAAGATCCACCCGCATGCTCCAACGAAAAGTGCCGTTCATATGTCATGCCCGGGCCATGCCTCCTTTTCCGAAAGCGGGGCCACTAGCTCAACACGTGAGCAGCAATCGCGTGGGGCTGACTCGGGGTGAGATTCCTGGCAAACGTCAGCATGCTCGGCTCTGACCTGCTTACTTGCTCCGAAGAATGTGAGCCTATTTAAACCCTTGGCTGCTTGCTTCCCTCCAGGATCGTAGGCAAAAACAAGCATCCAGCCTCCGGCTGGTTCTTAGGCCTTGCACAGCCCAGCCTGGAGCCCACTGCGCAGCTTCGAAAACTCAGCTCTTGCAGTACGCAGCTAAACGGTCAGGGGCAACCTCAGGCCTGTTGCATATTTATAATAATAATAATGATGATGATAATGATAATAATTATATATACACATATATGTGTGTATGTAAGCATGGTCATGGTCAAGACATGCCGAGCCAAATTGAAAACAACTGCACATGCAGGACCACTAAGCTCAGGCACCTTGGAGATGCTCTCTCCGCATAAAGTTTCACCCGCAGTATTCCCAGGGTGTCTCCAGCGCACGTGGACGTGACAGTGAGCTCAGCATCTGCCGCCTCGACACCTGAAAGGGCTCATAAGCAGCCCGCGATTATGATAGTGGAAAAGTATGTTCTTGCTGAGCGGGATTGCACGACACAAACCGGCTTGGCAAGGCTTGACCGCTAGCATTACAATTGTTGCACCCCATAGTGATAAACTGCTGAGAAAAGTAGGTGACTCGGATCAGGTCGCGCGTAGCAAAGCAAGCGCAAGGCACGCGCACCTAACAGAATCGTTCAGTAGGAGTGGGGAAGGTCTGCCACTTTGCACCCCCTCCCCTGGGTCATGTGGCCTCCTCCATGCTCGAGACAACATGAGGCATCGTTGCGCAACTTGAAAAAGGGGTCGAGTGGACAATCGGTAGCCCTGTTGGCCCCTATTCTACCAACACCCCCCCCCCAACAAAAAAAAACAAGCAACGTGGCAGCGCCCTGCACCTTTGTAAACATGCGCGCGGCCAAATGCATTTGCGTCCAGCATGTTCACACACACGGGGGCAATCGGCCTCCCCTATCTTCGACGTGCAGTCACGTACAGGTAATAGCAAACGTGCCGTCGAACAACTCACCACTAAGTGCTTCCTGAAGATATTTCTTGTGGCTCGGGTTGCAGGTGGAGCGAAGGACATAGTGAGGAGTGAAAAGAGATGTGGGAGGCAGAACACACACAAACACACGCACAAACACACACACACACACACACACAACAGTCATGACTGCGGGGATACAGTCTGACAGCATTCTTGTTTCTTCCTCACGCCCCGTTCAAGCACGGCATTGCAAGGGCAGTTTGCTTTGGCAAAGGTACCTCAGGGAGGTCAAGCCCACACGCTGCCTGTTCGACCTCACCTGCTTCGTCAATTCTCCGTCCTTTCGTTTTCGTTGGCCGGGAGGCCCAAGAAGCGACAGCAGCACAAGTTGCAACGGGAAGTGTCATGCTTTGATCGAGGATACGGGAGGCGCACGTGCGCGCCCCGTCACGGATGACACGGTGACTCTCGCCTACGTGGGCGATCAGCACAATCATTCTGTCTCCAACAGCGACTTGCTTGACGCACAGCCCATGGAGCCCCCAAACAAGCCAATTTTCTGACAAGGGGGGGAGAAGAAGCGAACAAGAGAAGAAGAAAAGAAGAGAAGATAAGAAAAGAAGAGAAGAGAAGAAAAGAAGAGAAGACAAAAAGAAAAAACAAAAAAGAGAAGAAAAAAAGAAGAGAACAAGGGAAGAAGAAAAAAGGAGCAGAAGAGAAGCAAAGAAGAAGAGAAGAAGAGAAGAAGAGAAGAAGAGAAGAAGCGAAGAAGCGAACAAGGGAAGAAGAAGAAAGAGAAGAAGAGAAGAAGAGAAGAAGAGAAGAAGAGAAGAAGAGAAGAAGAGAAGAAGAGAAGAAGAGAAGAAGAGAAGAAGAGAAGAGAAGAGAAGAGAAGAGAAGAGAAGAGAAGAGAAGAAGAGAAGAAGAGAAGAAGAGAAGAAGAGAAGAGAAGAAGAGAAGAAGAGAAGAAGAGAAGAAGAGAAGAAGAGAAGAAGAGAAGAAGAGAAGAAGAGAAGAAGAGAAGAAGAGAAGAAGAGAAGAAGAAGAAAAAGAAGAGAAGAAAAGAAGAAGGGAAGAAGGGAAGAAGAATATGCGCCGCCGCAGGTCCGCTGGAAAGCCCTTACTGTCGTACGGAGGCCCTAGGCTCCCGACACCGCCGGCCGGAGCAAAGGTCTTGAATCATCCCCTCTGACAGCACTGGTACTGGCAGGCCTGCAGGGGAAGCACCAAAGCCCGAACACCAATTAAACATGGCATCGTGTGAGTCCTGCCAGGCCCAGCAATTCTTGCCCGCGCCAGATTTGGAAAAAAAGTTTCTCCTGAGTCAAACTTGCCATGGGACAACACCCTGCTCATAGAACTTTGCCAACCTTGCATGAAGTGACCGCACGACTTACACAATGCTTGCTCATCTAGCAAACATGCCCTGCGCAAAAAGAAGGCATGAAGTCAGAGCAAGGCTCTGGAACAGGACCAAACAACTGCATTTTGCGGGCAGCGTCGAAACCTCAGTTACTTTTGTGGGTTTGTGTGTGTGTGTGCACGTGTGCTGTAGAGGTGGATTCACACCAAGATACTCCAAGTACAGCTTTCTGCCACTGCGGCAACATGAATTGGAGCCACAAGCTCGCTGCGCTCCTAAGCACTCGAGGCTGCTCCAGGCAGCGACAGCATGCTATAAGAATCCGTCGCAGCTAGGTCACCAAAAGCCCTTCGGGATGCGCCACAATCTCTTGCTGCGCGCCCAGCTTAACGACAATGTGTATACCACGGGGCAATCCTCGCAGACGAAGGTCCTCCAACCACACCTTAATCACTCGCAATCTACCTTGAGAGCATCCAGGACAGCTTTTCAGCGGCATCTCTTGCCCCTCATGCTTCCATGTCAGGCCAACATCAACCCCGGCCTTCAAGTGTACGCCACAAGGCTCTAGCCGGCCAACCGGCATGTCATCTGGCATGCCATCTGGCACCTTTCCAAGAATCACCTTGGCTGCGCAACTTTCAAAATCCATCCTGGTCTCAAAGGCTTGCAGCGACAGATTCTCCCGGAAGTCTGCTTCTTTGAACCCAATTTTACTGTATGAGATGTGTCTCACCTGCAGTATGCTTTACATCATGTACATCTAGTAGAAGACTGAATCTATGCTTTTGGTGTCTGAGTTTACTATTCTTATCTGTATCTTATCCTTCTGTGAAATTCTATATCTAGCTTGTATTGTTTATCGTGTCCTTTCTCTTACCCATTCTTGTCTGTGAGCACTCGCCAGCGGCCAAGCCCTGACTGTCACTCGTTCACTCTCTTTCCAACGGCCGTTCGGGGACAGACCAGCAAGAGATGGGTCACATTCCTTCCTCCATCACATCTACATATACAAAAAAAATGTGTACATCTATGCCTTCACGTGGAAATAGAATTCACAAGCTTTAAGCTGTACTATCCTTGGTCGGTCAACCCAAACTTGTACAATCTGCTGCCTGGCCGCCTTCCATGGAACAAGCACGCAACTTTCTGGCTGTGCATGGGCATGCCTGGTCATAGGAGGAAAACACCAAAACAGGGTAACGACACGGAACGAAACGAACAACATCGGGGCAGTGGGATAAAACGGGGCCAAAGAAAACGCGAAACCGGGAAAATGAGACAGCAACACGAAAACGGCAGAGCCGGAAAACGGGAAAGCGCGAAAGTGGCGAGGACGATGGAAAATTCGGGAAACCACAAACATATTGACCCAGTCAAAACCTAAACCAATCCCAACCTCGCCCTTGACAAACCCTCACACCAACCCCAAACAAGGCTCAAACGGAACTGTGAACCGACCCCCCAAAAAATACAAACCCGGACAAGCCCAAAAGGCACCCCAAACCAGCCTTAAACATCCTTAAGCCAGACGCAAGACATATATAACACAAGCGAACCCTAACCAACCCTTGCCTCGGCCATGGCCTCGCTTCAGTGTAAACCAGGCATAAACATCATAAACCAAAGAACAATAGACCCTACTTAAAACCCTGAACTTCCCTGAACTCATAATATTCTAAGACCACCCCGAGCACCCTAAACTTGCCCGGAACACACCCTAAACCAAACCAAACCTCCAATCAAAACCAACACTTGAACGCCATACTAAACCCTAAGCCAACACCACAAAGTTGGACGAAAACTGAAGGTTGCCTCTTCCAGATTGCAAACCCAAATGCCCCTAGCTCAGCTTTGAGCTGAACAAGTTTGAGAAAACCTGCTTGTCCCACAAATGTCCGGCGTGATTCTGCCTGGTGTTGCTTGATTGTAGCCTGCACGAATATTCAGATCTGCTCCACGAATCTGATGTAAACTCGATGCGAGATGGGATGGGTTCTGTGCCCTCGCCCCCACGCCCAACAAACAAACGGAATCTCTGCGTCAGCACCTGAGGCGCGTGAGCAGTTAAATCATGGCACCTGAGCGCTGCCCACCAGAGCTGGGCGCTCATGTGGCCCCGCTGCTGCAAGAAGCGGTGCTCGAACGCGACTGCGACCGCCGAATGCGTCCTTCCAGAATAGTTTATACGCATCATGGCTCACCCCTTCTCAGGAACGAGTCGCTCACAACACTTTGGACATGAAGCACACGACAACTTTATTGAGGCCTGCCACAATTCCCAGGGAATCTCCGCAGTCGCCACAACCACCAGGTGCGATGATGCTTGAGACGACATCCTGAACCGAAACAGCAAGCAGTTGAGCAGGAGCTGACTTGAACACTGGCTGCACACGATTCATGCACGCAGAAACCATGAGGCACATATGCAGCACATACAGCGCACGAGTCGCCTGTGAGAGCACAAAGCATCGTGTGAGGCCAGAAGCTGCAGCAACGGCTGATCCACGACAGCCGTGGTGTTCACAAAGTGCTTCGAGGCATGGCCAAAGTGCACAACATCATCCAGCCTCCAACGCTGCCATCCAGAGTGCAAATGCTGCAACGAAAAGGAACTGCACCATGGGAAGCCCGTGGCAGCTAGCACTATGTTTGCTGAGGTCGCCTTTGGCCCCGCAAACTGCATGTCTCTTGTGTTCTTGGGTCAGCCTACAACGTGCAGCTACCCAGCCCAGCCTAGCATTGCAGCATTGGGCAATCACTACCTCCCACGCCACTTGCCCATGGGTGATACAAGGCAGTGCGAAGCGCAGAAGCAGCTGCTGGCGATCTGCCAGGCTCTTGGCCTGGCAAAAGCAAGTCCATGCAAGCACCGATGCATAGCGATGACACATGTTCAACGGAAGGGTATGAATCTGGGCCGCCCGCGAAGTCAGGCGCCAGCTCAACAGTGTCCAGGACCACTTGCACCAGCTCAGCCAGCATACCTGTGCCTGCGACGACACGGTTAGTAATTACTGCGCAGCCTGGCCTAACAACAAGCCTTCAGCAGCTTTGCGGTCTTCAGGCTCTGACACAAGTGCCTCAGCGGTGCGCGCAAGGCTGAACTGTTTGTAACGCCTTCTTCCCCTTACTGCAGAACTTTGAAAAACTAGGCCCATTCGCAGTCGATGGTCAAGAATGTTTGTTAATCCTCCCCACAAACGCCTCCACCCGCTGGAATGCCACACTGGTGAAACTTTGCGCACTGCCAGGCACCAGTTGCACTTCAAGTCTGGATCCACGACTCGATATGCAACAAAATTGCCAAAGGCCCAAGCCGCCCCATGGAGTGGGTCACAGGCATCTATGAGTTCCAGCGCTGCGGCTTTCTCTGGACTGCCCGTCTCCTGCACGAGGGATGGGCTCAACACGCTGCTATCCCGTTCGCACCTAATCAAGCTAGGTTGCTCAGGAAGCAAGCACCCCGTGAGGCGATGGATATACGAGCAACAACAAAACAACTCAGCTTTATCTTTTTCGTTGAAGCCACAAATCCCCAATGATCCTCAAAATCAACAAGCACGAAACTGACTGCTGACTCTGCACTTTGCTTGGGTTCGTACTAAAACCGGCATTGGTCGCCCTGCGTTGGCCTTGTACGAATTTCACGCACATTGCTCATGTTGCTCTGGCAGACTGTTTCCTGACCGGAAGCAGGCTCGGAGACATGCGATGCCAGAATAAGTGGCATCAGACCCTTCCCCTCCCACATTCAGCATAGTCACACCAGCATAGGGCCCAAGTAGTTAGAACTTGTTCTCATTTGATTCGTGTGACATAAAGCAGTTGCTTGACGACCGCTGCGGCTCATAACAATACCCGAGATTGAATGCGTTGCTCTGCAAAAAGACATTGGTCAAACCTCCAACCGCACTGGCAGTGGTGAGCATAGCTATTCAACGGCAACCTGCCAAGCATCTACTAAGCAAAAAAAAGCATCTTGCAACCAACGCCTGCGAGAGACAGCCTTGCCCCGCCCCCTCAAAAAGCACCATGTCAGTTACGTTATCTAGAAGCAACAACCGTACCCTGCGCAAACTCTCCACCACAGCCAGCCCATCCGCCTTAGTTATGCCACGGCTTGCGTTGGCTGGCTCAAGGCGTCTGGTCCAGCTCCTTACAACCCTCAACAGCACCCAAGCCCAGCACCCTGCCGAATGTTGCGTCAAACCCCCTCCCGGTGTCTACGGCTAGCTTACCAAAACGCTTGCCGCCTCTGCAGACGGCCCTCGGCCCAGCTCAGCACGCAAGGACCGCGCGCGAGCAGCAAGCTGCTCAAGTCCTCCGTTCAAACAAGACCCATCCGCCGAAGGAACAAGCAAGCAACAAAGAAGCCATTAGGATTGCGGGCTGGGCTTCCCGGAAATCAAGATGCTGCACGTGACTGAAGGAGTTCCCTCTCTCTCTCTCTCTGCCGCACCCTCGGCAAGCCGTCTGAAGGAGTTGTAGGACAATGTTTTATGCAGCTGCACTGTAAAAAGTCTTATGATGCCAACTGCCCAAACTCCAAGATCGAATAGAAAATTAGGGCACGACAATGAGGCAGGGACGTTCCAGGCTCTTCTGACCAACGGATGTGAAAGTTCGGGGTGCTGGCAGTGTGTGCCTGTCAGGCCTATCCTTGGGCCCATCAAACTTACGGCAGCTGAGGCGCGGCTCGCGCGCTCCAGCTCCGGCAATCCCATGGCGACTCACGCATGGCACAGCCTTGCTGCTTAACAACTTGGCGGATTCCTTGGCCAACTCATTTGGGGTTGCACTGAAACTGTCCAGTCCTCTCATCTCTCAAGCTCGTTGCCTCTGGAGCGATCAACCCTGCAAGACATGGTTGGCCTCTGCGCATTTGCCTTCGCTACTGTAGTTACTTCTTCTCTGCTCCTTTCCAATCAATGCGCTTTCCTCTATCCTCAGTGTTGTGCTCCGTCAAAGCCTTGACCCTGCCGAAGATCTCAAAGAATTTCATTCGACACCTCCCAGCTTGATTTGCTCCAGTTAAGGCAGTGCAGCATGCAAGCTGCGAGCACTATGTCAAGCAGAATGGCCTGCAAACCGTCAGCAGGATCGCCTGCTTTTGATGCATGAAAGCTGGCAGGTCCTTCAACGTAGTCCTCCCGGCATGTCATCAGTGAGGCTGAGGCCAGAGCGCCCAGTGGAATCTTCATGCGTGCCCTGCCGGTTGTCAACTGCCAACCCTCACAACCCCGCTGAAACTCCAAAGGCTGAGGAGCAAGCCGAGAACGGCAGCCAGCCTCAAAACAGAACCAGGTCAACCAAATATGCCTCACACCAGGGCCAAGCTCCCGTGTTTCCAGAAGCAGGCAACATGCCGCCCTGGTATGCAGAATGGAAGAAGTAATGTGTGTTGACATTTAACGCATGAGGGCGCACGAGAGAGCGAGAGAGAGAAACAAAGAGGCAGAAAGAAAAAAGGGAGAGAGAGAGAGAGAGACAAAGAGACACACACACACACACGCACACCACGCACACACGCGCGCACGCACGCACGCACGCACGCACGCACGCACGCACGCACGCACGCACGGACGCACGGACGCACGGACGCACGAACGCACGGACGCACGGACGCCCGGACGCACCCGCGCACCCGCCGCCCACACACCCGCACACCCGTGCACCGACACACCCGCACACACCCGCACACGCACACGCGCACACACACACATGCTCACATGCGCACACACACACACATGCACACATGCACACATGCACACCTGCGCACCTGCACACATGCACACACACACATTGTGTGCATGCATGCACACACACACACACACCTGCACACACACACACACATACTTAGACTCCCACGGGGGTATGTCCATCAAGTTCCATCGTAGATTGGCCAAGCGATGGCCAATCGAGAGCGCGCCGACACAAATACACACACACACACATTCACACAAACACACACACACACACAGCGACGAAACAGCGGGATAGGCTTCGCATCACATCTGCAAGCACACGCGGATGATCCGTCCGCGCTTCTTGCAGTGTCGTTAGCTTCGTTGGCACAGGTCACCACCATGGGCCTGCGCCCCCTGCAGTTCAGCTCCAAGTGATTCCAGGGTTTAATGGAACTCGGCACGCACACTCACATACGCTCCCGTAGGGGCGAGCCCCAACAGAAAAGAAACAAGCCAAGAAACAATCAGACCAAAACCTCACGTAAGCAAACCCCTGACTCAGAAGCAAAAAAACACAAGGGAACCAAACCCTGTGCTGGCGCGGCAGTGTTGCCCCGCTAAGGGATTTCCCAAAATCGCAAAGTCAAAAGGTCGAAACACTTATCGAGTCTTTATTTAAGACAGCACCTGCGCGTTCCAGCAGTCCACATTTGGCTGGCCGAGAATTGCAAAGTCGAGACATCAGGTCGACATCCGAACAGTTGAAAAGCCCAAGCCAAAATCTGAAAGATCGGACCAAAATCGAAAAGTCTTAAAGTCAAAAGCCGGGGAGCTTGGCCCCGTCAAAAAGGCATCGAAATTTGGATCTTACCGGGAGGCTCCGCCATACCACTGTCAGCAAGTTCCTACGAACATAGCCTGAGTCAAAAGAAAGTAACGCAGGCGTGTGTTTGTAAAACGGGTCAGTATGATCTGAGTTGCGCTTTGCCGCAAAATCATATATAAGCTTAGCACTAGTAAAGAACATGTTGACATTCATAGCTTTCGGTTTTCAGACATTTCCGAATATTATGCAGAATGCTCAGTTTATCAGAAAGTTCCAAACTCAGGAATTATGTGCTTTTCCAAGCAAACAAACGGATAAAGATGCAGAATTGCCTGTGTTTTCAGAAAAACGCGAATGAAGCTTTGTCTGGTGTTTCACGCAAGTACTGAGATTCCGAAGTGCTACGTTTTTCTAACAAACAGAAAACTATGAACTCAGACCCGTTAAGTTCTTTAAAGCGGAGAAGGTGAATGAGACTCGCAAACATCCGGAACTCAGTACTGTTTTTCAACATACTTTGTACCAAAAAAAGCATGGGCACCGTCTTTTGGCGAATGCTAAAACCAATTCTTTAATGCTTACTGGTTTTACAAGAACTGCTATCATGTTTCGATTTCAGATGGCGCTCACGTGATTTTGCGGCTCACTGTTTCTCATGTGCTCTCAGCCATCGTCACTTCCATGCCTGCCAAGGCTGTGCAAGAAAAGGGACTGAGATATGACGGTGGTGCACATCCAAAATCATTCCCGAAGTCATGCCGAAAGCATAGCAATAGGGATGTTAACCAGAAATGCGAGAGAGAATATAAGAAATAAAAACGGTGACTCAATACACAATGTAATTGTAGTGCCACTGGGCAGTGAGGGCATACGCAAGAGCATCACACAGGCGTGAAGGGTACTGCTGCGCAATAGATGTCCAGTTCTTGCCGCGGGGGCCATTGCCATTGAGTTGAAAATGGGCCCTTCCGCTTCGGGACCAAAGTTTGTGCCCAGAGCACTGGCATTGCAAGCGGTGCAAGTCATCGATGGGAATGTTACCGCAAATAAACGTCGATGGCTTTCTCCATTTGGCACCATGTCGGCAAAAATCACTTGTGACGACATGCACATGTGGAAGGCTTGTAAGATCTGCGAATAAAGGCAAGTACCAACACTTGGACACCTTTTCTATAGCTCGTGACCGGGCCAAGGTCATTCGCACCAAGGAAGAGCCATGGGGTGTTCGTGCTGAGTTGTTAGCACCGCATGAAAACGAGCAGATTGAACGTGAACGCCTGGGATTTAGGTCGCTGCAATGGGACACTCGTCATGGGCACCATTGCGACCTTCCATGCAAATCCGTTTTGGATGCTTTGCTTAGAGACGCCCGAAAAGGCAAAGTATGTTGAACTTTTGATGAGGCGGAAGCATGAAATAAAGCAAGCATTGCACACATGCAGCAGCTACGCCGCCTTTGCCAGAAAAAAGATCGGCTACCAAGGAGCTTTTTTGGTTCCTCGGAGGCGCTTTGAGCTCGGGGGGATTTTCTGCCGCTCATAATAGCCGCGAGGTTGCTTTCGCACTCTGTGCAAAACTCCTGAGTTCTCGCCGGGGTGATTTCCCAGCTCCGTGCAAGTCTGGCCAACTTTTCGTACCTCATGGAGGACTTCGCTGCCTTCCACTGGCCACGCCGCTGCACCGCCAACTGTGAGCGCCAGCTCTTGACGCTGTCGATTGAAGGGCCAGAGTGGCGAGTCATGTAGGGGGTCAAGCTGACCTGCATAGCCTTGGCGCATTTCTTGATGATGGCCAAGTACTGCGCGTACTTGAAATCCCAAAGAGGAGCGTCTGGAGCGCCCCTCTTCATTTCCGCAAACAGCGTGGGGCCCCATTCCTTGAGGTAGGGGGAGTCCAGGCACGCCTCCGGGCTCGTCAACAGAGACCAGTACCCTGTCACCCGCTTGCAGGCCGGATCAAGCTGAAGACTTGGAGGGGCCTGGCATAAGTCGAACACTGCCATGCTCCGGAAATCCATCTCCACCATGAGGCTCGCCACTCCACACCATGGCCAGAGGAAAGGGAACTCGAGAGCGCCCAGGACAAAGCCTCGAGCCGCGGAAGGCACGCAAGGTGCGAGGGATCCGCTGGATCCCCACCTTGCTGAACTGCGGGTGGTGGTGTAGCCAAGAAGCTACCAACCTGTCGGCTGCGTTCATGTACTGCACCAAAAGGTCGTCCACTTGACTTGCGTTGTCTAGGGACAAGGCCTTGGTCTTGGCAAAAGCCATGAAGCTCTGGTACTCCTTCACGTACATTTTCTCGGTTACTGCGCCCACAGCACGCCTTCCAACAAAGAGAGACTGCTGCTGTCTTTGCCGTTCACGAGGAAGTCGACATATTGTCGACGGCGCCGCCTGCCACGCGCCTTCAGGTTCTTCTGCTTTTGGTTGGTGAGAAGGGCCTCGCTGCTGCTGTCTGAGCTGCTTGACACAGACTCTGTTCGGCTTGGTCTCCCTTCCTCCAGCCAGTTGTGGGCACCTTCGAGGCCCTGGTAAGTTGGGAGCGCCGCCTGTCGCCGTAGCAGCGCGTGCGGCTGCAAGCTTTTCAGCTGTTGCTGAAGCTTCGTCGGATTTACCAACTTGCCAGGCTTCAACGACCACTTGGACAAGAAGGGAAAGGACAGCGGCGGCAAAAAACCTGTGACGCCGCTGCCGACCTTGCTGCCGAGGCTGCTCAGAGGGCTGCTGAAGGGTCTTCTGCCGCTTCCCGGTCCTGGAAGGCTCAGTTGTGGGCCTGGCTGCTGGAGACTCTCAAGAAACGTGCCACGGCGGCTACTGAGGCTGGGCGTTGTCAACTTGCTGTCCAAGCAGTGCAAGGGCTTTACTCGGTGGAGGGTGCAGCGGTCCTTCACGGCACGCACTTCCACACGAAGGAGCCGGTGGAGGACGACAGAGGCCGCGTTTGGCGCGCTAGCCTTGGCTTCGCCTTCCTGGACGAGACAAAGACCGTGGCAGCGCCGACCGTTGACAAGGGTGCGACCAAGGCCGCGGCGATGTCCGCATGGACGACAGACGTGGTGACCGACATGACGATGAGCGGCGCCGTGGGCGAGACCGAAGGTGACGCTGAGCATAGGACGCCTGGGGCAGAGTTCATGCTTGGTACAAACTATGCAATGAGCTTGGGGTTCACAACAGGGACGTTGTCTTTCTTACTTTTCGGACTTTTCATTTACACCGTGGAGCACTTTCTTTTCGCTGAAGTTTTGCGACGACCGTCGCTTCGGCATGCGACCATCGCCAGAGTCGACCAATCTCACCAAGGCCCACAGTCGGAATTGCTCCATTGAGCTTGTCCAGAGGTGGCGCTCCCAGCGCCGACATGGAAATCCACATTTTTCCCGGGGGCGCCCTGTCGAGGCCCGCGGCCGGGGTTTCGGGAGGCTCCGCCTGCGGAAGCTCAATCCGACCGCCCCCACGGCCTTGGACTCGCCGAGGAACCAGAAGACGGCCCAGATAGGCCGTGGTATCAACTTGCTGACCACTCATGTTGATCACATGCCTGGGATTCCAAGCACTCTCCCCGCCGTGGTCAGCTCTTCCTCCTGGATAACCTGTCTTTAGTTTTGGCTCTTGAACGTTGTCGAAGCCGGCAACACGCACTTCTGAAGCAAATCCGGGTTTTCAATGCTTATTGTCTCTGCAGGGGTGTTAGACATGTTTTCAGATGGATACCCAGCGAGCTCAACAATTCAGATGAGCTGTCTCGATATGGCACAAGCGAGCCCTCAAAGCTCTTGACTTCCGTCATTCCGCATGGCGCCGAAGAGAGCCCGCTGCCTGGCACCTCCGGCGCACTCGTTGCCGAAGAGAGAAGCTCAAAGCCATCGGGTGTTGAAGCCTGGCTGCTGCTGCTGTAGCTGCTGTAGACTTCGTCGCCCTCGAAAGAGCATGAAGTGCCAAGTGAAACAAACGGAACAGATGAAACTCAGCCAGACCCAACACAAGATGAGCTGGCTCGCTGATGCAATCTCTCCACCACCATATAGCCCCACGGTCATGAAGAGTGTCATGAACGGCGGGGGTGGCTCTGCGCGGTCCGCAGAGCCACTGCGTCGGTCTACCAAACCGAGGGGCAAGCCCAGTTTGTTCAGATCGGTCCAGGGACTTGTTTCCTCTTCCTCTTCCTGACTTGCCTGAGGTCAAGCAGGGCCTCAGCCGGAGGTCAGCTCAGGGGTGGGCGCGCAAGACGCAAGCTCTACGGCTTGATGCTCTCCAAAGAATTCATGTTCTCGCCCAGGAAGCTGGCGAACTTGGGGAACTTGAGACAGTCCCCACTCCTGAGGCAGCTCTTCGGTGCTCAAAGGGAAATCAGAGTATCACCGACCTGAGGACCCAGTTGCCTTAGCCCCTTTCAGCCTCAAGCGCATCTCTCTGCCTGACAGCTTGGTTGGCCTGCCGGACGCTGTTGACCTGCTGCCAGACGATGCCCGTCAATATTTGGAAGGAGGAGAGCACATGCTTAGGGACGATGTGGCGCTAGATGCCCCAAAGCCCTATTGGGATCCTTTGCTTGCCAAAAACCAGAAAAACTACCGCCAGTTCATCCAGAAGCTTGACAGCATCGGTTTTCTTCAGTACACTCGAACCCCGAAAAACCAAGTGGGGGTGTTCTTTGTGCACAAAAGCGACGGAAAGCGCATCCGACTCACTGTCGATGCAAGGTCCACTAATGTGATGTTCAAGGAGCCCCCTGGCGGTAGCCTTTGTTCAAGCGAGGGTTTCAGCCGTATTGAGTGCCAGCTTTCTGCAAACGCTGTACCTGGGAGCAGTTGTTTCTTTGAGGAACTCAAGTCAATGCAGATCCACGTTGGCCTTTCTGACGTCAAAGATTGTTTCCATCGGCTGAAGCAACCCCGTTGGCTTGCTGAGTATTTTTGCTTTATGCAGCTCAGTGGGTTGGTTTGGGGGGCACTACTCTGGACGGTTGCATCTTGAAGAACTTTACCCCATGCCTAGGTCCCTGCGCATGGGTTTTTCTTGGTCATTGTTCTTCAGCCAGCGCATCAACGAGTACCAATGCTCACTCACCCGAACATTGAGCACATCGCAAGTCATGAGCGACAAAGGTGCTGTCGTGGTTTTTCAAAGCCGGGAGAGCATGATCTGTCCTGAGCAAAGCGCTCGACATTACATATACGTTGACAACCTTGGAGCGCTGTCGACGCAGCAAGCTGTGGCGCAGTCTGCTTTGCAGGAGCTTGATCTCCACTTCTCCAAGCTGGGCCTGCTCTTACACCCAGGCGAGATATCCGTGGGCCAAACCAAGGCTTTGGGAACTATTCTTGATGGAACCAGGAAGTGTTCTCGAATTACCCCTGAAAGGTTCCACCGTGTTCGCCAAGCCATCAGGGGACTTTTACGTAGGAGCAAGGTTTCAGGGAAAACGCTGGAAATTGTTCTGGGTCACGCCACATTCTGCGCACTCAACAACCGCATGCTGCTATCAGTATTCCACTCAGCCTACAAGTTCGTGCAGTCATGCTATTTTTCTCCATCTGCATTGTGGCCATCTGTCCGGCAAGAACTTCATGATTTTCTTGCGAGCTGACTGGTGGCTTCCTTGGAATGATTTGGTTTGTTGCAGCGATGCTAGCACAACTGGCTTCGGAGTTTGCACTGCCAAGTGGAGCAAGACTGACGTAGCGGCAGTTGGCAGGGTAAGTGAGAGAAGCAGGTTCAAAAGAATTGGGGGCCACAGTGCTAGGGAGAGCTCTCTGACTTCAGCTGGCTTTGTCAGGGACGAACTTACAGGGTTATGGAAGAGCGGGGCCATTGACGGGGAGGAGTACATAAAACTGAGCGGTTGGAGCCTAGACCCTCAATTTCCCGAAGTGCCGGCCAGGTTGCTTCGCAAAAAGCGGTGGAAGCCCCGTCTCTGGGGAAAGTGGCGCTACAAAGAAGGCATCATCACCCTCGAGGCCAGGGCGGCTGTGAAGCGGGTTGCCTGGAGTGTTTTTGGGTCTTCAGTGCGTCTCTCTTGATCTCCCCCAACGCAGTGCCAACATGATCCCTGAACTCCTCATCAGTTGGATACATTTTGAACCGGTACACGGGTTGCCCCACGCGGGAGAAGTACCTGAAATCTTTTCCCTTCAGCTTGAATGAAACCGGCCCGTCATCAACATGTCCAGACCAATCTTCTGGCGTCCGGAGTAAGAACATACCTTCCAAACCAACAACCTTTCATGGTAGACCGTGTCATCAGAGAACCAGACAGCTGCAATTTGCCCGGGGAGGCATGATGACAATACCTCCACCGCGTCTGCGCGGCTCATATCCGTGAACAACCTCTGAACTCTGGCAGCTGACAACACCGATCAGTGATCCGGCTAGCAGGCCGAACAGTAGCCCCAAGATCACAGAAGGGAAATGGTACTTGAAACTGTCACAGATGCAATGACACACGCAGGTCTGATTGTAAACTTGACCAGCCCCTGGATCAGCGTCAAAGGCTTCCAAGGCCTTGGGCAACCTCCGCAGGCCAACCTCAGCCAGATGGCTGACCAAGAGGATTGCCAAGGCGGTTGCCTTCATGGAATGGCTCTACCTTTTCACTTGAGCATCGTGCCATCGGCGCGGCTCCACTCTCTGGCGCACACACACACACATCATCAAATCACTTCCTATCACCAGTTCAATCTTATTGTGCAAGCACCACCATCTCAAGCGCTTCTAAACCATGTGTTTCTAAACTTTAACTTTAACTAAGATGCTACTAAAAGAAAGCTAGAAGTATGCTTTGCATTGTTTACAGGAACGGTTCTAGAAATGTACTAAGCTTTCACTAAAATGGTGGCACATGTTTCTTGAATACATTATATCTTACAAGAACTTGTGTTTTGTTTAAACATATGTTGCCAAGCTGCACAAACACTAGCAACATGTTCTAAGCGAATAGTAGTGCTTTACTAACATTGTGCTGATAATTTTGTTGACTATAACAACAACTGCAAACATCGTACGTTTAAGACTGGGTTGAACACGCCAGGCTTTTAAGGGGGTAAGTCGCCAAGAAATTGCCCACCGAGCGCAACTGAGCTTATGCCGAGTCAAATCCAAATCGCGTCCCTCTAGATGCGAAACCGTTGCAAAGTCCAACATGAAGGGGCTTACGCTGCATGCATGCCGCACGCATGACGGCGCACATGCCAAGTCCGTGCGCAAAGGCACAACGGCAAAGATGTTTCTAAACCAGGGTACAAGCACATATGCTGGCCCTGCACACCTGACGGCCAGAGTGTTCACAAACCCACTCCTCAAGGGCACCCATCTGGCCGTGCATGTGTGGGAAAACTGTTCATAAACATTTGACATGCACTTATGTTGGCGCATAATCACACAACTGTTGATCAACACCAGTGAGCGCAGCCTGCTACACATGCAAGTCTGGCCAGTCTGGTGCGAAGCTACTACTGACCGCACTGACCCTTGGTCATCCCGGTGTTGAGAAAAAGTTTCAGCGTTTCACAAAACATTTCACGTATCATACAGATTCTCATGTTGACACGAGCTCGGATTTGCAGCGTGCACCAATCTGGCGCGAAATGATTTGCCATGAAAGATGGACACTGCAAGGGAAGCATAGCCAAAGCCATATTCTGAGGCCATGGCTCATGAGTTGCAGTCAGCTTGGCTACCCGCGTGCCATGCCAGCCAGAGAACGAGTGGCCAAAACAACATACAGTGCTGCTCGCGAAGCAGGTGTCACGACTGGGCATGACAATGGCCATACAGCTTGTTGGCAGTGGTGGCGTGGCTTCACTGCACAGCTTGGAGCAGCATATAGTGACATGAGCAACAAGCCCAAGGCGCGAGAGAGACATTGTCAAGGCGCTATGCAAGGCATTCGGCACAAGCGAACAGCCTCAAATTGGAAAAGAGCTGCAACGTGTTTCGGCACCTTGGGTGTCCAAACGCTGTTGCAGCTGGCACATTTGGCCTTGTGATGATGCTTTGATGTATGGTTACAAAGTAAGACAGGAGGCCCGTGTTGATGAAACACCTGGAAACGCAAGATTTCTACCCACTGACTTGAGCAACAAACTTTCAGTCAATTTTTACCCTTTCCAGGTGCCCGGCTGGAGGCCAAAAGGCCGGAGCGCGCACCATAATCCACTCTCTTTGCAATTGGCTGCAAGTGAATTTGCGCAAAACTTTGTCTGCGTCGTAACAGTGCGCTCACAGTCCATCTGTCCAATGCCTTGGCCACAACGCACGTTCCCAGCGTCGATAACGGACTGGGGACCATGCCCTTCATGAGCTCAGTGAGGGTCTCACCTCCCAGGCAAATGCCAAGCTGCAAGTGGGACGGGACTGGGACGATGCAACAGCAGAAAAGTACATCCTCTAACAGTATCATGGCAATGCACCAAAAATTATTGAAATACTGCTGTCCTGTTGCTTTTTGGGAGGGCACCACTTCCAAGATTCAGGGAGCGCGATCATTCATTCTAATTGGGTACAAATTCGGCCAAGGCCACCGCTGATCTCACCAACTCGAAGTCGCCAAGATCTGTGACTGGCAGAGCAGCTGCACGTGTGACCCGCAAATTTCGCACATGATGATTGAAGCACAGCAACGCATTTGCAAAGTCTGTTGCACCTCGTCTTCGCCAGCTCTCAGAGGGCTCTTCCTGTCGGACTGGGTCAGCGACCCCCAACCCTCACTCTCAGAAAAATGGTTTGCAGTTGAAACCAAGTGCCCCCCTCCCCATTGATCCCATCGCCGTAACTTCAGCAACTTGATATTGTTTGCTGCAGCTCCTTGACGATGTGTTGCTGTGTTGCGGTTGGGTGCCCCTTGACATTTGCAAGATTCATCTCCAACCGCACTTGTGTGCCTCAGTTCCATGTCGTGGTGCGCGCGTGTATAAACGTGAGCATGCGCTGCACCATCACCGGAATGCTCAAACTTGCAAACTTGCGTGAAAATACGTGCTGTGCCAATTGTGGTTTTCGCGGTCAACGTTGTTCGGACGTCAAACAAAACTACGCGCTGCGCTCAGCGCACTCGCTGCAAAAAGAAAGGCTAGCACAGCATAAAAGAACACCCCCGTGCCAAGAGTGGCTGGCGCGCGTAAAAAGGGCTACGCTGCTCACAGTAGAGTGCTGAATATTCAGCACGCGTTGAACTGCTTTGATTTAGAGGGCGCACGCGCCATAGTTGAAGTGCTCTGCGCGTGCGAAGATGAGATGAGGTAATACATGAGCGTCCGGTCTCTGAACCATTTGCAG